GTGAGATGTTATCATATTCCGGTGTCTTTTTGCAATGTAACTTGTTTGTCATTACTTAAATAAGATCATTTGTCGTGATATTCAAGTATATAGATGATACATGTAGATGCTAAGTGAGAAAGTCATAATGTCCTATTGCAAGATTTGGTTGAAACATCTTTTTCAGGTGATCAGCAAAAACAGATTTTTCTTTATCACTTCTCGCTCAGTTTCCGAGAGAGTTTCTTATTAGAGAATCGGTTTCTATGTGGGAATTGATACCTTTGCTAGCGTTCAATAAGAATGAACATGTTTTGCCACTTGGATATAGGTTTTGAATAAAATAATGTTGCCCGACTTTGGTTTTCCTGCTCAATGCAGATCTAACTCTCCCTTGGGGTTCCTTGAATAAGATTTTTGCTGAAGAGGACCTACATTTTTGCTATTTGCACCTTAATCTACGCTTTTGTAAAACTAGATTTTCTATGTCACTCTTTGCAAGTTCTTTATTGGATATGTAAATTTTATTGTGTTTAGGGGTGAAGTTTTCTGTTGCAGAAAACAGAATTGAGTTTAACACCGTGGTTGCGTCCTCAATATGAGACTTACACTTTATTTTTTAATTTGTGTGTATGTGTGAACTAATCTACTTCTTATATTTGAGCAAGTTTATTTTATGATTATTAAATCATAGCTTGTAAATGATAAGATAAAATTTCTGCTTATGCCTTTGGTCACGACGAAGTTTATTAGGGGTGATATTTTATTGTTATCGGCAGGCCAATATGTTGGCTGTGCAGGAGATATTACGTCTAGTGCATTTTTTCTATTTGAAATGGTCTCCTACTGCAAGAAATCTGTCACCTAGCGTTCAGAAATAATGCATAAATTGGGTCTCAGTAAAGTTGAAACAGAGGGGACAGTAAATTACCGATAAAGTCAAATTTTTTCCTTTGTGCTTAAAGGCATATTGATGTGGCTTGTATATAATTATGAGCATATGTACCTAGAAAATTGTGTTTTAGACGCCTTCGTAATAAAATACCTGTACCACCGTGTGCTTTGCCATCTGGGTGATTAATTTTGTAGAATAAGTAATAGAAAAGAAATTTTTGTTCGTTAGATGTGTTTCTGAGCAAAGTATCACATCCACATTTTCTCGGGACATATAATTTGTGAGTTCAAGTTTATGTTTGATTAAGCCGTTTGCATTCCATGTACAAATTTTTAAAGTACTCATTTAAACAAAAACATTTGCATAATTAGCATTGCATTTTAACTATCTCGTTAAGAGTAGTTTGCATGATTGACATGAACTGAGTTAAGCTTTGGGTGAGAGTGGAGATCATCATTTCCAAACTATTACTTTGAACTGGAGGAGCAGGTTGCTTTTCAGATTTAACGACTTTAGCATATGAAACACTTGGTGTTAAAGGCTTAGAAGTTAAAGGTTGGGGTACTTCAACTAATTCGATGGGATTTCTTCTTGTAGGATTACGCAACGCTTCTTTCTGCAGAGCTAACCTGTGCTTCAGTTCTTTATAATTAGGACAGTCTCTGCAGTTTGCAGTATGATTTCCACTGCAGTTGCTACATATTTTGAAGATGGTATACTTTACTGCTTTTTTATTGCATTCGGAACTATGATTAAGCTCACCACAAGCTAAGCACTTTGTACTAATAGTGCAATATGACATAGTATGGCCATACTCTTGGCAGTTTGTGCATTGCACCGCAACATTTTTTTTGTGGGGCTCTTCAACGCTAATTCTGCGGTGAAGTAAATACTGTAGGTTGTAAATGGAATGGCTCTCATTTTTTTTAAGCTTAGAAGCTTCCGGGTGAAGTTAAACTTTGAACATAGGTTGTGGGATTTTATCTTTGGTAACAATGTTTATAACTGCTCTAGCGCTAAGGCCTTTTTCGCTTAGGATATTTGTTATCTCAATGGGTTCTATATCTGACTCAACACCTTTATTGACGACAACAAGGCCTTTAATTTAAGGCCTTAATAGTAATTTTTTTTTCTCTCATCGAAATGCTAAGTTACGATCCTAAAATTGTTTAGAGGCATTGTAACTTATGCACGCTGCGGACATATGTTGTGGTTTCCCGAGTGTATTAAATATAAAAAAAAAACATTATTGTTGTTTTTCTCTTTAAGGACTGACTACTTGCTTTCTCCTTAGACAAGCTGACTATAATAACAATCAGTGTTTATTATTTTTTAGAACACAAATAGTTTGCTTAACCGTTGATTCCCTTCCACTGTATAAAAGTAACGCTTTAAGGAAAATCACACAAATTTTGTGTAGACATTAATTTACCGTTATTCAAATATTTTTATTTGTTTCTACAGTTTTACATTTTTCGCTTAATCAATTTTAAATATACATTTATGTTTTTTTTCTCATTCAATTATTTTTATTTATTTATATTGTTATACATTATTTTATAATTTTATAATATATATTTGTATAATTTCCAAACTCTTTTCTTGTGCGGTTTGAATTTATATTAACGCGAGTTGAATTAAAAACTACAAACCAACTCGAGAACAATTATCGCTACTGAGTCCAACTCGTCTAAAGAGCCCTACTGTTTACTAGACTACTGTTTACTGTCTTTTTAAACAAAACTACTAAAAGTCTTACTTATGCTGGATGCCGTCAATTCAAGATCCCCAATCACCTCAATTTAATTATTATTTAATAGTTTTTGCGTAATTCGCAAAAGCGTCAATAATTTAAATTGTATTCGACTTTTAATAATTTTATTTCCAATGTCGCATTTAGCTTGACACCATTAACAAATATTAACAGAAAACTAAAAATCAAGAAATCAGAATAAACAAAACAATAATGTTCTTCATAGTATGGACAAAAATTTAAAAACATATAAGGCATTTGCCTGAGCCTTTTGACTCATAATATATAACATGATGAAATTATTCTAGAAATCATATTCAAAAATAAATACGAGGGCGGTTTGGTAATTTTTTTCGGCAAATAAACATTTTATTTTTCTACATAATCACCTTTTAGCTCGATACATTCAGTTCAGAGTTTTTCTGATTTTCTTATTCCCTCCAAATAATAGGTTTTCTCACAGCTCTCAAAATACGCATTTGTTTCGGTAATGACTTCTTCATTCTACTGAAATCTCTCACCGCTTAGCCATTTCTTTAGGTTTGGAAACAGAAAATAGTCGCAGGGGGCTAAATCTGGAGAATATGCTGGATGGGGTAGCAGTTCGTATCCCAATTCGTGGATTTTGGCCATCATGACTAGACAAGTGTGCACACTTGTATTGTCTTGATGGAACAGCACTTTCTTCTTCGACAAATGCGACAGTTTTTACTTCAAATCAACGTCGAATCTGTTCAAAAGTTTTGAATAATATTTTTCGGTGATCGTTTTACCTATCTCGAGGTAACTGATATGAATGACACCGCTTGCATCCCAAAAAAACTGTGGCCATGACCTTGTTGGCTGACAGATTCTGTTTGGCCTTCTTTGGTTCACGTTTACCCCAGCAACCCACTGTTTCGATTATTCCTTGGTCTCTGGCGTGTTGCGATGGATCCATTTTTCGTCCACAGAAACAAAACGATGCAAAAATTCGTTCGGATTACAGCTGAACATCGCTAAACACTCTTTTGAAGTGGTCACTCGATTGCGCTTATGGTCGAGTATGAGCAATCGCTGCACCTATCTCGCGGAGAGTTTTTTCATGTCCAAATATTCGTGTAAAATATGATATACCCGTTCAGTTAAGATACCTACAACATGAACCACCTCACGCACTTTCATTCCCCGATCTTTCAATATCATTTCATGGATTTTATCGACGATTTCCGGCGTGATCACGATTTGTTTAATTGTAGTTCACTATGGATTAGATTAGATTTTTTTTAGATTTTATTTCTTTATTATTTAATTTCAAAAATTTTTTAACATAAATAAGTATTATGCCTTAAGTCTAATAACATTGGTTAGAGTTACTTAAAAATATGTTGACAAATAAAGAATACGACAATGACTTATAGTGGTGTGTCGGAGGTGTTGGTTTTGAATAAATTTACCTTCTTGCTTAAAATGACGTACAATTCAAAAATGAAATTATGCAGAATTTAAATTAATTGCTTATATTTTAAATATTAATTAAAAATTATTAAATTAATTTATAATTTATTTTCTGTCTTTTTATGCACTAGTAATATAGTTAATCAATTTTTTCCAGTTAGGGTAATTTTCTCCATTATGCTTAATGGGTATTCTTAATAAGCTGATTACTTCGTCTTTCACTAAAGATTCTCTCTCAAAACAAATTCGTCTAAAAGGCCTTAATACAGTACAGCGGGCTAACAAGTGCTGTAGGCTTTCCGTTTC